ACAGGCTGCCAAAGTCAAAAATAGGGCAGTCAAGGAAGGGAAGTTTGATAGAAAGTCCAAATAAGCACTTCCTCCCACCCACCTTCTAACTTCTTGGGTACCTCAGCCAAAACAGCAGAGAAAGAGAGGCAGAGCAATAGAGACAGGATGAAAAGAAATTTTTTTAAAGAATGAAATAGCTAGGAGGAAGTGGAAAATATTGCTCCTCGTTGCCACGCGCACGGCAGCTGGTTCATGTTTTCCCCATGAATATCCCAGGATGGGGGAGGTGAGAAGTGTGTGTTGGCCATAGTGGAGGAGGTGGTAGGAGAGAATGCAGGAGGCCTCTGCAAACTTCAAGGCAGAGCGGTGTCTGGAGAAGGGGTTCTGTGGGGTTTCAGGGCCCTACTCTGCCCACCACTTACCACACACTGCTGCCTCTATGAGTGCTCGTGAGGACGGGCCTTTCCCCATCCAAGTGGTGGACTGGATGCCTGTCACCCCTTGGCACATCATTCTCCCCTATGAAGTCCCTACTTTCATTCTCCCCTGGTTCGTGAGCTATAACTCCCCAGACACCTTCCCTCCACCATATTCTAACACACACACACACAGAAACTGCAACTCCTGTCTCTTAATGAACTGTATCTTTTCCTCACCCTAACCTTAGGAGCCCTGGTGGCGCAGTAGTTAAGAGCTTGACTACCAACCAAAAGGTCTACAGTTTGAATCCACCAGCTGCTGCTTGGAAACCCTGTGGGGCAGTTCTACTCTGTCTCATAGGATCACTATGAGTCAGAATCAACTGGATGGCAAAGGTTTTGGGTTTTTGTTTCTTTTGGCTTAACTTTAAATGTAGAATCCCTGGGTGGTACAAACCGTTAATGTGCTAGGCTGCTAATGGAGAGGTTCCAGTCCACCTAGAGGTGCCTTGGAAGAAAGGCCTGGTGATCTACTTTTGAACAATCATACACTGAGAACCCTGTGAAGCACTGTTCTATTCTGGCACATATGGGGTCACCATGGTCAAAATCAACTCAACGGGCAACTGGCTTAACCTTTGATGTGAGGAAAGACAGTTATCTCCTCCACCTGATTCTGCTGTGGGGTCAAGGGAAAGAGAGGGCGCTTCAAGTCTAGAAGTAGTGGGGTGGGAGACAGAAGAGTGTTGGCGTGATCCTCCACTCTGGGCTGCAGTTTTCTGTTCCCACATCCACTTTTTGTCCCCAAGATTTCAAACATCTGATGTATCACTCCCTGCAAGGATTGCTTTCTTGTCCACAGCTTCCATGGGGTACATATGTAAGATTCCTGTCCCGTGAGCCTCATCCCTGTGTACTAGCATAAATTATGATGGATTACCCAATAAGCAAGGCATCCATGGGCTTACTTGTACTTACTAATCTGTAGTGCACAATTACACCTGTTCATCTTTGATGTGGTGAAAACTCATGTGAAATTGTGCATTACAGATTAGTGAGTAAACCCAATTAAGCCCGTGCACACCTTGCTTACTGTAAACTTGTGTATACCTTGCTTACTGGTTAATCCGCCCTGAGTATAACTCTATACTTATGATGCTCAGAGATGGTTTGCCACCTTCCTAACTGCAAGATTTACAGTCAAACCTGCAAAAGCCATAGCCTGTGTAAGATGGAAACCTGTCAGAGAAGGAAAACGCAAATATTTTCCACTAATAGAGAGCAATAGGAAAGTGGCGAGTACACCCTGTCAAAGGCAGAAAATTTGCAAGACCCAGAAAAACAAGGCAGTCTCATCCAGTTCCAGCTCTCACAGATCTCACTGTATATTGTGAAGCCTCAAAAGGCTTCTGTTAAGCTTTTAACTAGCTCCTTCCTAAGTTCTGGGTTTTCTGGACCTTGTTGAGAGATAGAGAGAGATGGGAAAGAGTATACCCATCACAGAGCATAGCTTCAAATCACTGTGCTTCACCTGCTCCCCACTCTCTGCTCTGCTTCACGCTTGGACCAAACTGTGAGCTAGCATGGCCTTCAACACTGTGGCATCCTATCCATTTGCCACTGTCCCAGAGGCAGCTCCTAAGACAGTCCCCTTTGAGTTGAGCTGGGCAAAGTGAGCTGGCCTGTACAGGGCCACATTGGCCCTGCTGGTGTCCTGAGTCCCTCCTGGGGGCTGACTGCTCCTGTCTCTGGAGCTTCCAGAACCCTCCGGCCCAGGACAGGAGATGTGAAACTTGTAAGCCTTGAGAAATCACTGAGGCCTGGGGAAGAGGACAGACTCCAGGCCTGAAGCAATGTGCTTCCCCTTGCATCAGCAGCTCATGCTTGCCTAGCTGTCCTTTCTGAGGGATGGGCTTGTGGGTTCACGGGAAGCGGACACCAAACGAGCACTGTGGAAAGTGCTGTGTTCTTTTCAGAGCATCTTCAGACCAATAACCTCACTTGCTCCTCATGGGAGGCAGAATGAGAGAAAGGAAACCGCACAAGCTGGGTTTGAATCCTTTCTCCACCTTGGGCAATGCACATAATCTCTCAGAGCCCTGAGGTGGCTGCGTGGTGAAGAACAGGGCTGTGGAATCAGGTCAACTCTATAGGAGACCCAGCTGCACAACCTACTTGCCAGTGCAATGTGGCAAGTTGCTTTGCCTCTCCAAGCCTCAGTTTTCTCTCTTTTAAAGTAAGAGCAATAATAGTGCCAAGAATTAAATAATTCATGCAAAGTACTTAGCACACTGCCTGGCACATGTACAGGGGTCACTGCATCGCATCTGTTATGATTCTTATCTTTGCCATCATTATCATCATCCAGGCTTCTTAACTGTGTGTCTAGCTCCTAAAAGAGCTCCACGGATGACCCACCTTGGCCACATCTGTTGGATAATTATTTTAAAGGGGTGCAGTGATTAAGTGCTAGGCTGCTAACCAATAAAGTCGGCCATCTGAACCAACCCACGAGCCGCTCTGTGGGAGAATGATATGACAATCTGCTCCTGTAAAGAGGTACAGCCTTGGAAACTCTATGGGGCAGTTCCGCTCTGTCCTATAGGATCGCTATGACTCGGAATCAACTTAATGGCAACGAGTTTGGTTGTTTTTGTTTTAATATTTAGCTATATTTTAATTCCAACTTCTGCTGTTCTATAAGTTTTTCTTCTCCTACGTTGTGGTAAAAATTAATGTTTTTAAAAAATTGCTTCTACTTTTAAGGATGATCTTGAATGCACCTTTCCACAGGTGCCATGTGGGTTTTTTTGCTCACAAAGTTCACCCCATCACACTCACACACACACACAAACATGCACTCAAACGCACACACATACACACACAAAAAACATACACACGCACGCGCATGCATCCAGAACGCCCTCCCCTCTGCGCCATCCTCCCAGGCCCTGCTTTTAAGTCCCAGTTGATTTCCTGAAGTCCTGTCTGATTGTCCTACAAAGTGACTTCTCTCTTGCTCTCCTGTTTCAAATGGCTTTTTGTCATCTGCTGCTGTTCTAGTGATCTGAGAAGTGGCCTCTCCCGTGAGACGACAGTTTCTGAGCAGCAGGGACATGCTTTATAGCGCATGCCCATCTGTTGAGCAGTTACTAGGCGCTTAGTCCTGTGAGGTGCACTTGGCATAGGTTACCTCGATTGATGCTCCCAGAACCTTCTGCGTGAGGATAATACCAGCTCACGCTTACGGATCACTTCCCATGTCCTGGGCCTGGAATTAATTGTTTATCTCATGTAATGCTCACACCTACCTAGAAGGTAGGTGCAAATACAGCAACTGGGGCTCCTGAGGATAGCGCATGAGGTGGAAGCTGTGCATGACCAAGTTACCCTTTAAAGAGCTTTGAGAAGGCACCACCTCAGGGTCTGGCATAGCATCACTCTGTATATGTGAGAGAGGTCATTCTTTTCCTCAAGCCTTGGGACAGGCAACTGTGTATGTGTGTGCACAGAGCACTAGATGAAGTAGCTGACTATATTCGGAGACTGCCATGTTGCAAAAATATATTTGTTTTGAAACACTTAACCCACACTCTGCCAACAATGTGCTCAGGCTATGTGAAGTGCCCGGGGCCTGAGCCTGACTAAGAAAACAGCAGATTCTCATCTCTTATCTCAAGGCTATTCCAGGGAATGTGCTCTTTAAATAGAATATATGGTGGAATCAATAGTGAATAGAATATACGTCAGCATCAATAAAAATCAGTTGCCGTCAAGTCAATTCCGACTTGTGGCAACCCCATGTATGTCAGAGTAGAACTGTGCTCCAGAAGGTTTTCAGAGGCTGATTTTTGAAACTAGATAGCCAGGCCTTTCTTCCAAGGTGCCTCCGGGTGAACTCGAACCTCCAACCTTTCAGTTAGCAGCCAAGCACGTTAACTGTTTACATCACTCAGGGTTGGCATCAATAGTCAACGTTAATTTTTTTTTTTTTTTTTCTTCCTTCACATTTGTCTAGTTAAACCCAGCTAAGTTATATGTGTATATGAAGCAATTCTTTCATTTTTCTACTTCACAGATAGGGAAATTGAGATTCCCAGAGACTCGGTCCTTGCCTGAGGCTACACAGCATGGAAGCAGTGACTTCAAAATTGGCGTCCAAGTCTCCTAGTGCAGAACTTTGTGAACCCTGGGACCCTATTCATTCCATCGCTGAGGATCCTCTCATTAAAAGCGTGTAGAGGCAGCCAAGGGAGTCGCAACTTTGTCCCTTTGATAGGACTGAGGGTGGGAGGGGAAGGGGGTTGGGAAGCATTAAAAAGCCACATTCTTTCCCCCAGCAGTTCACTGATGTGGGAAATTGTCTCTATTTTAGGTCAACTGTCAAAATGGATTTTCGTCTTCAAAGACCCAGCCTAGCAGGAATGTGGTGTAGACACATGAGAGTTTTAATGGAGAAGTACTCGGACTCACACTGGAGTTTAAGCCTCCTTCATCTACTCTGCCCTCGGGCAGGGGTGACAGGGCCAGTGGGGAATTACCAGGCCTGTCGCTCTCTCTACATCTCAAGCACCCAGAACTGGGCTTCCTTGTTTACTTATTTAGAGCCCAGCAGAGGAAGTGGTAAAGGAAACTAGCTGAGTCGGTTTCTGAGAAGAACCCATATTTGTTCGCAGAGGAAGCCGTTGCTTTCTGGGATCTGGTTACAGCACAAAAGACGTCTGCTCCAATAAGCGTGTTCCAGAAGACACCTGGGAGTTGGAGAGTCAAGGACACCAGCAAGCTCTGGATTTGGGGTTCTCTGTCCATGGGTGCGCCATTCGCACTCAGCTTGTGAGCTTCCTTCCAGGATAAAGCAGCTATGGCACTGAGGAATGTACCCTTTCGCTCAGAGGTCCTGGCCTGGGACTCCGACAGCCTTGCAGACTACTTCAAGAAGGTGAGCTTGCGCTTTTGTTGTTGGTAGGGTTGGCAGTGCCTTTGATGGGCTGGTCAGAGGCTAGAGGATGGAATCTGGGCAGAACATGAAAGGTGTAAAAGATAGCAGTGGGACTACCAACCCTGCGGCAACCGCGTCCTGCCTTACTGGTTGAGTGAACGTTACGTAGGTATACAAAAACCACTGAATTTTCCTGGGCAATGAGTTCTGGGGAGAAAGGAGGAAGGGCGATCCCTAAAATGAGTGTGTGCCTACTATGTGCCGGGGTCTGAGTTTGGAGCCTTACAAGCATTGTCCCATTTAACACTCACTAACATCCTGGGAAGAGCCCTGGTGGCACAGTGGTTAAGAGCTCGGCTGCTAACCAAAAGGTCGGCAGTTTGAATCCACCAGTCATTCCTTGGAAACCCAATGGGGCAGTTCTACCGTGTCACTATGCGTTGGAATGACTTGACAGCAACAGGTTTGGGCTTTTTTTTTTGTTTGTTTTAACATCCTGTGAGGTCAATATTGTCCGCTTGGCTCAGCCACAAAATCAGCTCAGGAAGGTTAAGTGGCCCAAAACCCCAGAGACTGCGTGTGACAGAGACAGGACTAGTGCCTCACCTGTCTGTGTTCTAAGACTCAGGGAACTGCTGTAAATGCTAATGAGATCAAGGCTGCTTACCAGAGGGGAGAAATAGAGTCCTGGGGGTAGGAGAAAGGGAGGGCAGGATGAGGGGCATAGAGGACTATGACGAAAAATGTACGATGGTGTTTGGGCATTCATTGCTCATTACTCTGGAAGGAGGGTCCTCAAGCCCTTATGTAGGACAGAGTCTCATTGGAGCTTTATAAGAGTCTTGGGATGCAGGGCAGAAAATGGGAAGTGAGCCCAGTTTACAGCTAGGGAAATGGAGGCCCCAGAGTGGAAGAGGCCAGGCAGGGTCAGAGGCCAAGCCTATGGCAGAGCTGGGACCAGGGTGCTGCTGTCCTGCCCTTCAGCCTTGGGGAAGATGCTCCAGGATCCACATGCATGGTCATCAGTTGATGGGGAGCTCATCTGCTTGGGCAGACCCCAAGCCATGGGACTCAGTTAGGGACCCTCTATCCCCATCCAAGGGAGAAGATATCTTGTGAGGGACATTTGAGCTCTAATACTCACATCCCTGGAGGCTGGCATCAAATTTAACTGACACCCCACATAGTCCTAAAAACGAGCCCTTTTCATCTGGTGAAGACCTTAGAGGTTGTCATGGATTGAGTTGTGTTCCAAAAAATATCTATTAACTTGGCTAGGCCATGATTCCCAGTATTGTGTGATTGTCTACCATTTTGTCATCTGATATGATTTTCCTATGTGTTGTAAATCCTACCTCTATGATGTTAATGAGGTGGAATTAGTGGCAGTTATGTTAATGAGGCAGGACTCAATCTACAAGATTAGGTTGTGTATTAAGCCAATCTCCTTTGAGATATAAAAGAGAGAAGTGAGAAGAGAGACAGGGAGACATCATTACCACAAAGCAAGAAGAGTCGGGAGCGTGTGTGCTGGGGTCCTGCACTGGGAAGCTCCTGGACAGGGGAAGATTGATGACTAGGACCTTCCCCTAGAGCTATCAGGGAGAGAAAGTCTTCCCCTGGAGCTGACACCCTGAATTTGGACTTCTAGCCTACTAGACTGTAAGAGGATAAATTTCTCTTTGTTAAAGCCATCCACTTGTGGTACTTCTGTTATAGCCGCACTAGATAACCAAGGCAGAGGTCGTGTAAATCAACTTCCTATTTCTCCTGAGGAAACTGAGACCCAAGGGCTAGAATAAGCTCCCTAGGATACACAGTCAAAGCCAGGGTCTATGCAATATCAGGAAATCTACTATCACAACTGTCCTTCCCCCATCAAGAAGAAGAGAATGTGAACATGTGGAATTGGGGATGTCACGGCAGAGGCACAGCCCACAGATCATGTTATTTGCTGCATCTCATTTCTGGTATTTTCCCTCCAAAAGGTCAGAACAAACTTAGGTTTCAGCATTGTATGTGAGAAGATCATTGATTGGATAGTTGACTTTCAAAGGATGTTTCTGAATGCGTTTCTTAAATGTAAATCAAATAAGCTAGGGTAGCAAGGTGAGATTTTCCAATATGGGATAAAATGGCTTGCTACCTCAAGAAAGAAGTTAGAATTGGTGAGGGGAAGTCTGGGGACAGGTTGAGAGGCATAAACAGGCCCATCTTGGAGCGTGAGGAGGGCAGTGACACAGACTAACAACAGAGGAATCCACTGGTACAATTCCCATCAGTTCAGGGAGGTGGAATATAGGTCAGGGTGATTCGGGGAGATGTCTCTCTGACTGACGTAGGAGAAGGGAGAATTTGGTTCTTGGAGACCCCAGATACCTGGGACAAGTCAACAGTACCTGGACAGGTTCCCCTTTCTAGTATCAAAGAACCAGTGGAGGGACAATGAGACTGAGGGGAATCTATGATCTGGGAAGGCCCAGCCCAGCACAGAGTCAGATAGAGACCCTTTGAATCCTGAGCTTCTCTGTCCCCCAGAGAGAAATCCCAAGTAAATTGACCACTTAGTCATGTTAGTGATCAAATGTACCATTGAAAGGACCCACTGGCAGGTACAACTCCTAACAAGGCAATGGGGTCGAGCCACCCTCCAAGACACCCCACCTCAGCTCTGGAGTCAGACACACCTCAGTGCGAATCCTGGCTCTGCTGCCTGCCGGCTTGGTGACCTTCCTTTAGTTACTCCACCTCTCTGTGCCTCAGCTTCCTCATCAGTAAAACAGAGATACTAATAGTAACTAGGAGTCCCTGGGTGGTACAAGAAGTTAGCGCCCTTGGCTGCTAACCAAAAGATTGGAAGTTCACCCAGAGGTAACTTGGAAGAAAGGCCTGGTGATCTACTTATGAAAAATTAGTCATTGATAACCCCATGGAACACAGTTCTGTTGTGACACACATGGGGTCACCAGGAATCGGAGTCCACTCGACAGCAGCTGGTTGGTTTGGTTAATAGTAACTAACCTCATGGGATTGTTGTGAGGATTAAAGGTCATAATGTGCGTGAGGCATTCAGAAGAGAGAAGAGGGCCAATTAATGTCTGACCCTTTCCTTTTTGTTGCTCTAATTAACTGGACCCGAGCTACAGAGGCCCATGCTGGCTGGCGGGCCACTGTGTCTTCTTGTCTCAGATGGTGAAATGTAAGCCCGAGGACCGAGACCAAGTTCTGTATTTATTGTCTCCAATCCCTTTTGATATGGCCATACAGCATCCCTGTGCCCCGCAGTAGAGAGGCACAGACTCAGAGCCATGTATGCTAATCCCAACTGTGTTCCTAATTCACTGTGCAAACTTAGGCAAGTCCCTCCCCATCTCTGGGCCTCAACCATTTCACCTATGATGCCAGGAACTGATCTAGAACAACGCCTACCAAAGCTGGCTGCTCATAAGAATCCTCTAGGGTGCTTGTTAAAAATACAGATTCTAGATAGTGGTGACGGTTGCACAGCATGGCAAATGTGATTAATGTCACTGAAATGTGCACTTAAAATTGGTTGGGACAACAAATTTTTTGTGGTATATATTTTACCACACACACACAAAAATATACATTAACACATGAATATAAAAATACAGATACCAGACCACCAGACCCACATTCCTGGATCTGAATCAAACTTCTAGGCCCCAGTCTACAGGGCTGTCTATCTGTCCAGAGTCAAACACAGCACCTTGCATAACCAGACATTCATCTGAGAACTATTACCATGAAAATGATGAATTACAGGCAGTTGAATATTCCAAGAACGGCTTACACCACATTGCATGCGGATAAAAGCCATGCCCATGGTTCCTCAGAGTCCCTGGGTGGTGCAAACAGTTAATGTGCTCAACTGCTAACCAAGAGGTTTAAGGTTCAAGTCTACCCAGAGGTTCCTCAGAAGAAAGGCCTAGTGATCTACTTCCAAAAAATCAGCCCTTGAAAACCCTATGGAGCACAGTTCTACTCTAACACGCATGGGGTCGCCATGAGTTGGAGTCGACTTGACAGCTGCTGCTTGGTTTCAATGTTGACCTCTAAATCAGCTTTCTGAGGATAATATTCTTCCCACCTGTTCAGGCCAAGAGGTTACAACAATTGTATTTACTTTCTGTATTTGTTGACTCTAAGAGAAGAACGTGATTCTAATTTTTCTCCCAAAGAAGGCTGCCATAAACTCAGAGGCCCACACTGTGGGGAGAACCTAGAATCCTCAAATGCAGACATTTAGTCTTGAATATTCTAGCCCAAAACATCAAATTCAGAGAGATTTTAAAATGTGAATGCTTATGCTGTTGCAGACAAGGGGAAATGGGCACCTCATACGATTATCAATTAGCGTGACCCTTTAGGAAAGCACCAAGACCCTTAAAATGCTCATTCCAGTTGATCGTATAGCTGTATTCTAAGAATCTGCCTCAAACAATTTATCTTACATAAAGAGAGAAAAAAAAACTGCATACAAAAGAATGTCCTTGACGTTCTATGTCTTGATCTAGAGGATGTTTTGAGCTCTATGCTTAAATTTGCTGATTTCACTTACTGTAGGTAAGTTATTATGCTATTGAAAAGAGGAAATATCATAACAGAGACATTAGAACCTTGTTCTGGAGCCAGATTGTCACCTCTGTCATTTACTACTCATGGAAACTCATGCAAGTCATTCAACTGTCTGTACCTCAGATTGCCCATCTGCAAAATGTGAGGAATAAATGACTTAAGACGAGTTTGCGTACTTAGAACAGTGCCTTCCATACAGCAAGTGCTCAATAATTATTATCAGTTTTTATTACCATTATTGGAACAGAAAATTTTGGAAAACAACCTAAATGCTCAGCAGTGAGGGAATAATTAAATAATATCATAGGCATTAAAATAAGGTTTAAAATACATTTTTTAATCATACGAAGCAATGCTTATATGATCATTTTAAGTAATTTTAAGAGAAAACAATCAGGCTAACAAGATTGAATATAAATTATAACCTCAATTATGTTTAGAAACATGCTTAGTAAAAGCATTGAAGGAAACACACCATAATGTTCACCAAGGTTGTCTTTGGGTGGTGAGACAATGGATAGTATATATTTTCTCCTTTCAGCTCCTCTCTATTTCCTTCAGGAGCATACGGCTCTTACATAATCAGTAATGTCCCTTTAATCAGCCCTTTGAGTGCTTGAAGGCAGCATCTTTCTGTAGGAGTTTACGTTGAGACAATGTCTCCATTTCAGACAGCCCCAAAGGGGTAGTGAAAGCGGGACTGAGGGCTGAGGTACTGATGGGCCCCTCTGTTAGACAGGGGAGGGAAGGAGAGAATCTGGCTAGCCACAAGTACCACAAATTGCTAAGCTTCGGGGGGCAGGCAAGGGAGGGGAGCCAATGGCATGAGTCTATCTGCCATTGACAACATCTTCCCCTTCTCTTTGCAGCTGAACTTCAAGGACTGTGAAAAGGCAGTGAAGAAGTACCACATTGATGGGCCACGGTTTCTGGTAAGTTCTGGCCAATCAAAGACATTGAAACCGAGGATGTTCTGTGCTTTTCCCAATGCCTGCAAGGCCAACTGGTCTACCCTGTTCCTGGGGCTACCCAGGGTCAATGTTTTTCTTCAGGATCCCCACGCAGCCCTTTATCCCCTTCAGAGGTTTGACAGGAGCCTCCTTCTCACCACCTCTCAGAATCCTTCTACGGAGCACCCCTCTCAGCTCTTGCACTGACATTGGGATATGCTCTAAAGTCACTGTAAAAGGAGGAATCCAAGAATAATTACAAAAAAATAACCTTGAAAATTTACTCAAATGCCATTCACACTTTGAGAAACTCAGGGGGGAAAAAAGACCATCTGGGAGAACATAATATTTTCTTCTCCCATATTTCACTCCGAAGTACATACGCAATGAGCAGAATAAAGGGTAGACTCAACCTCTTTGTTTCTATTGTAGTCCTTTTCTCTCTACCAAATTCACATAGTTGGTTTTGTGTCAATTTAACGTACCTGTGATATGGTTCTCTACACTGTATTATGTAGAGGGTCAGCAAAAATGGCCCTCAGCAAGATGGACTGACATAGCAGCTGCAACAATGGGCTCAAGCTTAACAATGACTGTGAGGATGGCGCACAACTGGGCAGTGTTTTGTTCTGTTGTACATAGGGTCACTGTGAGTTGGAACCGACTCAATGACAACTAACAATAACAACAACACACTTTATTATGTTTCAAAAAGTTTTAAGATGCAGCTGTATGTTTCAGACCAAGCCATTAAAGGGGAGGGATGCAGCTCTAATGGTGGAGATAAAGGCATTGGGTAGTGGTTGTGGAGGTTGTCTGAGCACTTCCCCCGAATGACAGCTTTGTGTATCGATAAGAGAGACCCTGACTACACCAGTCCACTCCTTCTAGACACTTTGTTTCACATTTAAAGAGAGAAATGAGAACAAAACTTCAAGGGTCTCCTGAGGTAGATGTTTCCAATATGGATTCAGAGGAGGGCAGGCTAGGCTGTGACTCCCTGTAAGGCCTAATCAGTAAGGGAACTTGGCCATGAGACTTCAGGATCGGAAAGGCCAGACAGATTAGGTACTCCAGCTTTCTACCCAGGACATCTGTACTGCCATCAACATCTGCTTGAACTCCTTCAATGACGGTGAGCTCACTATCACCAAAGCTCATCTGCTCCTTTCTGGGCAGTGCTGAAGTCTTATGCTGAGACCAAATTTATGTTCCTGTTGGTCTTAGTTTTGCTTTTAGTTGCCACGTAAGACATGTCTATTACTATCCCATCCAAATCATTCATTCATTCACCCATCCATTCACTTGGCAAGCATTTCCTGAGTTCCTCTTACATACTAGGTCATGCTGGTACTGGGGACATGCTGGAGATACAAAGGTGATTTAATATATGATTCCTGCCTTCCAGAAGCTTATTTTATAGCAGATAGGTATCTCCAGGAAGCCCTCCAACCACCTCATTTGCAGATGAGGAAATCAATATACAGAGGCGTGACGTGACTCACTCCAAGTCATACACCTACTAATGGGACTGAAGCATATATTTATTTAATTTAGTATAATACTGTATGAGTCTTAACAATGCTATTTGTACTGAGCTGTTGAGCCTATGGAATTCCTGGAGTTATGCAGTTGTTGTTACTGTTCTCCCAAATGACTGCTAAACCTTTATTCTGATGCCTTTAGCACTGAGAACAGACTTAATACACTTGAGTGGAAAGAGAGTACCACATCTTTAGGGCTGGTCCTGGTGGTGGCCTGATGTCCTGCGCCTGATGTTACAGTGACAGGCCCTTCCGGCTCTGTGGTTCCCCCGTACACTCCCTGTGCATATTTCAAGCCTTCTCCTTGGTTGGGAGATAGTATCTGAGCAGCTATGTCTCCTCTGCTCTAATCTCTGGGACCATCAGTCCCTCAGAGGATGCAGCACATTCTGCTCATTTCCTGTGGAGCAGGAGGAAGTGGAAAGAGGAGTGATAGGAGGCAGGAGAGCAGGGAGCAGAGCCTGGTGCCTGCCCCAGCAACTAGGGTGCTCAAAGGCAGCTTCGGCTGAGTTTCTCCCACCCCGTGCCTCACCAGGCACTCTGTGTGCAATTTGAGACTCAGGTGTCAGCTCTAAAGTCTTGTCTGTAATATCCAGGGCCATCCTGTTATTGAAGGCAGAGCGGAAGGCCCTGGTTCTTCTTTTCTTCCCTCGTGTTTCCCTTCCCTTCCCTTCCCTTCCCTTCCCTTCCCTTCCCTTCTCTTCCTCCCTCCCACATTTTTTCCTTTCTCTCTTCTTCCTTCCTTCCTCCCTCCCTCCCTTCCTCCTCCTCCTTCCCTTCCCCCTCCCTCTCTCCATCCCCACTCCCTCCCTTGCTACCTTTCCCTTCTCTTCTTCCTCCCCCTCCCTCCCTTCCTTCCCTCCTTCCTTCCTTCCATTCTCCCTTCTTTTGTTCCTTTCTTCCTGCCTTCCTTTCTTCTCCATAGGAGTTAGTATGTCCCTTTGAAGAGGTAGGAATCTCTTTTGCTGTCATTTTTTTCCCAGTGGAAATGACAGCAATTTGTCTGGTAGGGGTGGGGGTGGGGGTACTATGTTTCAGAAGGTGGAAGAAGAGCAGGAAATATGCTTGGAACCTGAGTCAGTTAGCAAGGCATGTGGCTGCAAGTAACAGAAATTTGACCACAGTGGTTTCACCAAACAGAAGTTTATCTTTCTCAAGAAATGAGAAATCTGCAGGACACCCAGGGCTGGTGCATTGCTCAAGGAAGTCATCAAGAACACAGGCTCCTTCTAGTATGTGGAAAAGCCTGTGGCTTCTCCCTCATGTTTGCAGGTTGGATACTCTCCCTCTAGGCCTCGCATCAGCCTCACCAACCGGAGGGGGTGGGACAAAGAGTAAAAGTTACACAGTGAGTCTCTCTCTCTCTCTCTTTTTTTTTTTTCTTCTGACATCTAGTAACTTTTCCAACTGCTCCACTCAGGAAACTTTAGGCTATATCTCACTGACCACAACTGAAGTTAGGTGTCCTCTGCCAGCTACAAGGACGTCTAAGAAGTTAAATATTTAAACTGGGCACGTTTCTGCCCTGAAAGAAGTTCAGTTCTTGTCGGGAAGGACCTGACAACTCCACATGTGTCAGAGTAGAACTGTGCTTCATGGGATTTTCAGTGGTTTATTTTTCAGAAGTAGATTGCCAGGCCTTTCTTCTGAGTGTCTCTGGGTGCACTCGAACCTCCAACCTTTCAGCTATCAGGTGACTGTATAAACCGATTGTACCATACATGGTGTTGCCTGAGTTGAGGGAGATGCCACAGCAACTTGTACCGGTCAGGAAGGAAAAGAGGGAGAATGGACCTTCGGTCAACCAGCAGCAGTGCCACCCACATCATCTCTGTAGACAGGGCCCTATCTGCAGCTTTTCCTCTCTATGCACCCCTTCAGGACACCCTCAGCATAGACTCATACTCCAGACAAAGCCACAAATCTAACTCTGAAATGATTGTACAAGTAACCTGGAGTTTCCTGAAGGTTTTGTTGGAGGAGGAGGAGAATGTTACATCACATAGCAAAACTCTCAAAAAAAAATTCTGTTTAAACATCTCTCATTTTTTCTCAAAGTTTCTGTCCCTGTTATAAAAGATTGATCTCTTTCCGAATATCTTGCTCCTCTGTTTCTCCAGTCATGTTCCTTTCCACCTTCTCCTCCACATTCTTCCGGAAATCCCCTCAGTTTATATCCTCCATTTGGCAAAACAGGAGCCAGCAGCCGGCCCCTCAGCAGGCACCTACCATTCTTTTCACCACCCCTGGGAGGCCCTCACCTCGTTACACTCACTGAACATGAGTCAGCACCTTCCCTGAGATCTGGGTGGTTCTGGAGGGAGGAAACGCTGCTGTTCAGTGATTTAAAACAACCAACGAAAAGAGTTAAGAGGCTTGACCACAAAGCCTGATTCTCTTAGGACTCTCGGTAGACTCCCCTCACCCACCAAACCTTACCTCAGGTGGACTGGTAAGCTGGCTGGGTCAGAAATTGCTCCTAAAAGTTGGATCAGATGAGCCCAATAAGCACACTGCAATGTTCCTGGAGAAAGACATCACGCTCGGTAAAGTAGAGGGTCAGCGAAAAAGAGGAAGACCTTCAACAAGATGGATTAACACAGTGGCTGCAACAATGGGCTCAAGCATAACAACGATTGTGAGGATGGGGCGGGACCGTGCAGTGTTTTGTTCTGTTGTGCATGGGGTCGCTATGAGTCGGAACCGGCTCTAAGGCTCCTAACAGCATGATGCCCCAGGAGTCCCTGGCTAGTGCAAACTGTTAAGGCACTTGGCTGCTAGCCCAAAGGTTGGAGATTTGAGTCCACCCAGAGATGCCTCAGAAGAAAGGCTTGGCAATCTGCTTCCAAAAAATCAGCCATTGAAAACCCTGTGCAGCATAGTTCTACTCTGACACACATGGGGTTGCCATGAACCGGAGTCGACTCAACAGCAACTAGTTTAGTTTTGGTTTGACGATGCCCCATTCCCATCCTCTGAGCCAGATGAGCGCCAAAGGGAAGGGTGCCAGCTGTTCCCAACAGGCAGCAGCAACCTCATAGGGGGAGAAGAGGCAAAAATATCCCTACCTCCAGAGCCAGCCAGAGCCCCAGCTGCCCCCTGCCCCCTGGGTAGTAAGTTCTCCCCTAACTCCCTCATTTCTCAGTCACAAACTAGGTGCCAGGCACTGTGCTAAGCACATTACATGTATTGTCTCACTCACTCCTCACAGTCTTGAAAGGTAGGTGTTATTATTATAATGATCCCCATTTTATAGATACGAGAATTGAGGCTCAGACAAGTTAAGTCTATGTCCAAACTCAGACAGCTGCTAAGTGGAGGAACCAGGATTCAAACCCCTGCCGTCCGACTCCAGAGCACCTACCCTGACTACCCAGCCATTGGACCTTAATCAGAATGTGATGGAGCCCCCGGCAGATTTTTCTTTGCCTGAGCCTTGGTCCCCTTTATTGGTTCATCATTGGTTCCATGGATAATATGCCCACCCTCTTGTGGGTTCCCGGTATCAGCACCCCTGCGTCTCTTCTCTCCTCAAGATGCCGCCTTCTTTCACCCTTCCCACCCTTCTCAAAAACCGGTGGGAGCTGCTGGGACCCTCAAAGAGCTTTGACATGGAAGAAGGGGGGCTTGCAGGAAGAAATAGACTGTGGATGCTACAGAACAGGGCTCCAGTTCCAGCTCTGTCATCTACAAGCTGCAATTTCCTTAACATCCCCAAGTCCCAGCTTGGTTCTCACCTATGAAATGGGAACACTGATAGTTCCTACATCATAGGGTTGATCTGAAGATTAAACAAGGTACTATAAGGCAGAGGCCCAGAGTCAGTTCACCAACAGGAGTTGGAAAGCCCCTTTATTATATTCCCACATCTAGAGAATCTTACCAACAAACCTGGTGAATGAGGCTTTTAGGGTGTGATGATGGTAATAGAAGGCACAGATCCCCTCTCTAGGCTGGCTTCTCTACGGCTGGTTTGAATGGAGACTAAAAGGGACTGAAGTCTAGAGAGAGAGCCTAGGAAAGAGGTTGCAAGATGGTCAGATATGTTCCATGAAACAAGTTCTAATTTGGTTTCCCACAGATTTAGCCCTCATAGTATTTGTTTGTTTAAATTAAAATTATTGGTCAATATTTAGAACTCAGGAAATTCCACATAAAAATTCTGATTTCAGGAATCCCTTTTTTTGGGCAGGGGGTGGGGGGAAGGGGAATGACCCAGCAATACCAGGCCCACTGGCTCTTATGCAATACCTAGAAGCTTTGGGTGGGGAGGGGACATACTCTCTAGTTTGCCACAGTCCCTACCACTCCCTATTGTCTCACACCTTACTCTATTCACCCAGTGAAGAGCCCTTCTTATGGATTATAACCTGCCTGCCATGTGTGTCTTGGTTTTAGGCCCTGACAGAAAACGACATCCAGAAGTTCCCCAAGCTCCGGGTGCCGTAAGTACTCCTTGGGTGGCTTGGGGAAGAGAAGCTAGAATAGGGGTAGTCCAGGGGGAGCTGAGACAATTGACTATCACTGTTACTTTGAAACAGGAAAGTGAGTAGGAAGGGTGAGTGCAAGGACAGGGTATGAGGAGGAGAACTTATGTGTTGAGGTAGAGAAAGGAAGTAACTGATCCAGTCTGGTTTGTGTGTTGTCTGCTCTTGCCAAAGACAAGCCTGACTCTGAATCATGTTTTCATTTCTCTCTTCTTGATGGGGTGGCTTGGGCCTGTGAAAATAATACCAGAGTCAAGAGACCTGAGCTTTCATCATGGCATCACCACTGACTCAGCCATTGCTTGTGTTATGACAGAGTTTCCAGCTCTGTAAAATGAAAGAGTTGGACCAGATGAAAGATAGCAAAGGTCCTCATTTCGTCTGTCAAAACTGACTACCTAGAAATGATACCGGGGGTGTTATGTTGAGAAAAATCCTGAGGAAAGGGAGCCATGATCAATGACTGATGTCTGCCGTGGGTGCTGAAATGGGAAGTTGCAGCATGCAATTGTGCTATGTGTGTTTCATCCCTTTAGTAAAGTTCTCACATACTTAAATGGCTGTAGGGGCCAGGCACATGATATAAATGGGTAAAATGAGCCGAGCTGAAAAATCAGAAAGCCCGATCGATTTATTTTTTCTTTTACTACCACTGAATAAAACATGAGTATGGAGAAATATTTCTCTACTCTCTTAAAAACAATAGCACAAATACAATGATAAAAGGGAACCAACAAAAAGCCTCATTGTTGCTGAAACAATAGGGACTAGTGAGGATTGTGGCAAATCAAAAATCATATGCCCCACCCAAAGGAGCAACAGCCACTCATCTCCAGCCAATGTGGACCCAATTATGCTCAATCTTAGTATTGACCAAGAGCAGCTAGAAATAAGGGGTTTATGTGATACAGCTCAATTCTTAAATGTTGATTCAAATATTTTTAAACATTGTGAAGGCCAAAGTAGATATTTCTATGGGCCAGATTTCATCTGGGTGTTACCAATTTGAGACCTCTACCCTGGACATTCTCTGAGCTACCTTACCTTGCTCTAAGGGCCTCAGAGCTCATAATGATAAAAAGAAAGTTAGCCAATGGAGTAGGCAGTTGGAAGTGCTCATGAATAGGTAGGACTGCCAGAGTGGCTTAATTAAGGAAATAATTTTAGCAATGATTATCAAGTTTCTCTTGTCTGGAACCACCAGCTGCCATTGAGTCAATTCGGACTCATGGCGACCCCTTGTGTGTTAGAGTAGAACTGTGCTTCTCAGGGTTTTCAATTATTTTCTTGAAAGTAGATTGCCAGGTCTTTTTTCCAAGGCACACCTGAGTGGATTTGAACCTCCAACCTTGCTGTTAGCAGCCAAGTGTGTTAACCATTTGCACCAAGGACTCCTTTGTCTGGAAGGGTGAAGATAGAGAGGAATAAGGATTTGCTTTTGGCTACAGCCTGTCCCTAAGGACAAGCGTCGTTGAGGATTATTTGCTCTTCCTAAGGGTTTACTCTAACCACGTGTGGCTATTTAAATTTAAATAAAATTAAGTAAAAAATTCAGCTCCTTAGGGGACCAGCCACATGTCAAGGGCTCAACAACCACGTATGGTTAATGACTACTATATTGGAGAGTGTAAATACAGAATGTTCCCATCCTTGCAGAAATGTGATGCTCCAGAGAAAGCCTATAGTTCTATGTAAACGAGAGAACTTAACACACACAAGTCAGAACTGGTGACTGGAGGACCAGAGCCGGCCTGCAGGCATGTTTGATGTGGCCCACATGGTGTTTGAAAATTAAAAAAAGTCCCACAAATCCAGAGGGAAAAAAAAAAAAAAAAAAACATAGAAGATGTGGTAATCCAGGGCCCATTTTTTATTGTGGCAACGTCAGCTGGATCCAAGTGTCTACTGCCTAGTTTAGATGTTATTTGTGCTTCCCAGTTCACCACGATCCCCACCCCTACCTAAGGGATTATCCTAAGGTGCTTCAATCATTTATGTCATATCCATGGTGACATTGGCTTTCTGACCAAGATGAAGTAACAGGGATGGGATTTACCCTCTCACCTGAAACAGCCAAATAACCACACCAAATATTTGAAGCAGCAGTTTTCAAGACACTGGACATCAGGCAGTAAGGGATAGGAAACAAACACGGTGAGCCCTGTGATGGCCCCAGCTTACGGTCTTGAGAGAGTATCCAGGGGCAGGGTGGAGGGGGGACCGCAGGCAGAGCCTAGAGTACTCCATGAGTTGAAGAGATGGAACTGAGAGTCCAGGAGTCTAGCATTCTGTGACAAGTACCAGAGAGGAGAGAGTTCCATAGAGACAGAGTTGTTGAGAGCTTCAGAGGCTCTCTTTTCAGCAGAGTATTGTTCGGCGCGTGCGTGTGAGGAAACTGCATGAAGCTGGGGAGAGAACCACCCAAAAGATTAGACATAATAGTAGCCAGTCACAGGGCTGGACATAGGGCCAGTTTCTACCAGCCAGAATGGAAACCCTCAGGATTCAGAGAAAATAAAGAATTACAGAAGGATCTTTTCTTAGCAGTGAGAACTAATTAGCCCTAGCCTAAAATCTGCCCTGGTCCTGCCTAACAAATGTTTAAAGCAAGACTCAAAATAATCAAAATATTTCCAAGTAGCTAACTTCATCCCTGAGCAAAGCTCAAAAATATCTATAGAAATACAACAATACCTATCACCCAAAAAAGCAAAATTCACAATGTCAGGATCTAATTAAAGACTAACAGACATGTAAAGAAGCAAGAAAATGTGATCCATAATGAGGAGAAAATCCCATACATCAAAACTGACCCATAAGCGACACAGATAATAGTATTACCAGATAAGGACAATATAACTGTATTCCATGTGCTGAAAAAGTTTAGACATGGCAAAAACAAAAGTTGAGACAAAAATACCCAAATCAAACTTCTAGAAATGAAAATTCTAATGTCAGATCAGAAATGCACTGCCTGAGATTAACAGCAGATTAGACACTGCAGAAGAACATGTTAGTAAATTTGAGGACGTAGCAACGGAAACTACTCAAAATGAAACACTGAGAGAAAAAAGAGCACCAGTGAACTGTGGCAACTTCAAGTGGCCTCGGATACATGTCTCAAAGGAGAGGAAAGAGTTGGGGGCCGATTCAACGGCAATTTACAGCAACAACGACAGGACAGTGCTGTGACAAACGAGTGTGCAGTTCCTATGGGAGCAGGAAGGCAGGAGGACCTAACTTTGCCCCCAGGACGTTCGGGGAAAACTTCTGGGAGGAAGGAACCCTAAGTTGAATCTTGAAATATGTAACAAGTGGTCAGATGAAGAAAGGATTAAAGGAAATTCTTGTGTAAGCTATGTGGAACTGCATGTGGGCCAGAGTGCTGGGGCGTATGCATGGGGGAGTGCAAAGCAAAGAGGCTAGAAAGACTGATGCAGAGTGCAGTTTGTAAAACTCTTTGAGGGCCATTCTAAGGAGTCTGGAGTGTTAGAGAAGTGAGCCCAACAGGGAGAATATTGAGGTTCAACCTGTGTTTTGGATTTCTTCACTGCAATGTAAAAGATAGAGCCCCTGGTGGCACAACAGGTAAGTGCTTGGGGCTAACCGAAAGGTTGACCGTTCGAACCCCCCAGCTGCTCCGTGGGAGAAAAGACCTGGGGATCTATTTCCATAAAGATTACAGCCCAGGAAACCCGACGGGGCAGTTCTACTCTGTCCTATCGGGTCGCTGTGAGTCAGAACCGACTTGACAGCACACAACACCTACAACACGTAAAAGATGGTTAAAAAGAGGGCCAGCTGGAGGCATGGACATCAAGTTAGGATGATAGAAATGACTCCACATACAGAAGATAGCAGGCCCGCCTAGGGCTATGGCTGTGAAGATGGGTGATTTAATCAGGATGGGCAGACAGAGATAGAGAAGGGACTTTCCACTTGGGGGATTCTTTGTAATCTTAAGACTGGGCTCTGCCTGGAGAAGGAGATGGGGTTAGCCCACTTAATATAGAAGGAGTATTATAAACACTCACGCTGTGGGTGGGATGGGGAGATGTAATATTTCCCTAGCTGTTTGAAAGCTGAAACAAAACTTAGCCTATGGTACCCACCCCCTGTTCCAATATGTTTGAATGTGTACCCCAGATAAGCTATGAATATGGGGGAGATATCAAGGGAAGATTCAGGCTGCCTTAACTAAGTGACTCAGAGTTACCGTTGCTCTTGGCAGACATGTATAAGTACCAATTTCAGCTCTACTTTTAATGAGCTATGTGACCTGGGACAAGTCTCTAGACACCCTCGGTTTCCTAATCTATAAAATGAAGGAATGGATTAGATGGATTGCATAGGCTCATCTAGTTATTTGTTTGTTTGTTTTTTTATTATTGTGGTAAAAATATAACAAAACATTTGCTATTTCAACATAATTTTTTTAATTGAACTTTAGATGAAGGTTTACAGAACAAACTAGGTTTTCATTAAACAGTACATATGTAGTTGTATGACATCGGTTAACAACCCCTTAACATGTCAACACTTTCCCCTTCTCGACCTTGGGTTCCCTATTACCAGCTTTCCTGTCTCCTCCTGCCTTCTAGTCCTCACCCGTGGGCTGGTGTGCCCCTTTAGTCTCATTTTGTCCTATGGGCCTGTCTAATCTTTGGCTAAAAGGTGAACTTCAGGAGTGACTTCATTACTGGGCTAAAAAGGTGGCTGGGGGC